GTCTTCCAGGAATTTTTCATGAATTCACATGAAAACTGTGATTAAACACACATGTATACACACTGAAAGCACATAAATGGCAGCACACTATATAATACATGCTGCTCTACAACTTTTTTTTAAATTGCCAACATATCTTGGAGATCTTTGTATTGGCATAATGTATAAACAATTCCTTTTCAAGGGTACAAAGTTAAAAACTGGAATCAAGAATAAAGTCCCAAACTAATAATGTTTATACCCTTCTGTTCTGCTATTGGGAGTATGCATTTGTAGAACACTTTTGATTTTTTTTTCTTTTTTCTTTATCTTTTTTTTTTTTTTTGGCAGCTGGTCGGTACAGGGATTGAACCCTGGACCTTGGTGTTATTAGTGCGACACTCTAACCAACTGAGCTAACCAGCCAGCCCCCTTGCACAACCCTTTTGAAAAGCAATTTGTCACTTTCCTTTCACCCATGTATGGGAAATTATGTTAAGGGAATAATTATAAGGAGGAAAAAGCTGGCTACATGCATAAAGACAGATAATAAAGTTACCTCCAATAGCCAAGAATTAGATACAACCTATATGAGCAATTAATGGTAGGAGAAGTCTGAATAAAAGTTGGTGCAACTATTCCTTAAAATTATGTCGCCATTTAAAAATGTAATGATAAATACTAAAAATATATTGCAATATAGAAAATGTTCACATAGAACACTAATTAGAAAAACCATTAGTATATAATAATATAAATAAATATTAACATAATAGTAATAATAGGCTTATGTATACACAGACAAGGATTGTGAGGGAGAGAGTTAAATGAAGACAGTGTGAATAGATTCCCACTGATATTGCAAGGTTATTGATGCAATACATAAACACAAAGTTAAGGACTCATGGGAGCCATGAATATGCAGAATGTGGAGAGCTGGGCTGCTTTTCAGTCAGTGCCAGGTGCCTCCCTGTCCACAGTCTGTACTCCTAAGTCCCCGGGAAGGCCTCCTGGTTAGCAAGCCTCTCTTAGGCTCACTCCCTTGTTCTGTACCCTCCCTCCCTCTGTACTCAATTATTTTGCTCTCACACCACACACACACACACACACAGACACACACACACTCTCTCTCTCTCTCCCACCTGACTAAGACCTCAGACTCCACATCATGCATATCCTTACAGCTATAGCCTCAGCTGCCTTGTAAACAGGCTCCAGGCAGCCTGGAAATTGTCAAGTTTCAGTTTTTACTTGTAGAGTTTTCCACCTGAGTTCGTTAGCACACTTCCTAGATGAAAAACCTCAGCCCCGACTGCTGTCCACACTTGCCTCCTTCTACCCCGGTGGAGACCCCGGGGAGACAGCAGCACAGGGCACCCATGATCACGGGAGTGCTGGACTTTGTTTTGCTCTCTCATCTGTAGGTGATGGCTGTGTTGGATCTTGGAAACGCTTCACCTGCTGACACTGATTAGTCTTGGTCTCCAGGAGGCTGCTTTTGTGCTCTGCTTCCTGCCTCCCCATGACCAAGGCGAGAGGGTGAGAGGTTGAGTCGTTTCTGAGGAGGTAACTGGAGCGAGATTATGGATTTAGTAGACAGTGTGCTTCCTCCATTTGTGCTGGATGGGGCGCTGCCCAGAGTTTGGGCAATGGGCTCTGTTCAGGGCCTTCTTAACTGCCCCGGGTCCAGTGAAGACTTTTGTAGGCTCTAAGAACTCCTGCTTCTGGAGGCCCTACCTCACATCTTATCAAACATAATTAAATTCCCTCACATTCCATTTATATCTTTTTTTCTGTTATTTACTCTAAAAGGCTTTTCTATTTTTGCTTTTACAATTTAATTCGCTATGATAAACTCACCTAATTTATGATTAATTCTGATTTCTTAGAACTCTGTGCATACTTGGGAATTTGAGGGAGGTGAAAAAATGTAACCTACAAATTGTTTACAATTGTAATGAATATTTTATGAATATTAACATTTAACAATCAATGAAGTATGAATATGTCAATTAAATATTTATTCACTTCAATTTCATGGTTTTCTTTTTGTATCTTGGAACCGATAATTTGTTTTTTAGGTTTCACATATTTCTTTGGCTCTTAAAAAGTCTGTGGGCCCTACACACTGTGCCTGTGGAGCCTCATGGGGTAAAATGCTCCCATGAGGACACCCACAGCTCCTCCTACTATAAGATTCGGGCTTTGAGTTCCTCACAGGTTTGTTTCTGCTTTAAGTGGCCTCAGATCTTCCCATTGGGGGTGCTTCTTACCATTCTGATCTCAGTTTAAATGTCACCTTATCCAAGAAGGCTTTCTTGATCACCCACAGGAAAGTAGCCATCCAGTCATGCTATTTAACTTCTCCCTGTAGCACTTATAACTTGTTGATATTATTCTTTTAATATTACGTCTAGAATCTAATAAATAGGTTTATTCTAAACCTACTGATTTAGTGATCTACCAATCTATGGATCAATTGATTGTCCACCCCCACTTGAATGTACTATCAGAGATCTGTAAATTTTGTTAACCAGTGTATCCCTCCACTACCTAACATAGCACCTGGCACATAATAAGTATTCAATAATTTTTTGTGGAATGAATAAAATGATATTTATGATTACTGTACACCTTTACTAGCTCATTTATCTTCCCAGTATGACTATAGTTTGAGAGAAAGAGGGTAGGATGGTGTGGTAGGCAGAAGGATGCCCCCCACCCACAAAGAGGTCCACATCCAAATCCCTGGAACCTGTGACTATGTTATGTTACACGGCAAAGGGGAATTCAGGGTGCAGATGGCATTAAGGTTACTAATCAGCTGATCTTAAATGAAATTCTCCTGGATTATCAAGGTGGGCCCAATGTAATCACAAGGGTCCTTTAAAGTGGAAGAAGGAGGCAGAAGGGGGGGCGGGGTGATGCACTGTGAGAAGGACTCAGCTCATTGTTGCTGGCTTTGAAGATGGAGGAAGGGGACATGAGCCAAAGAATGTAGGGGGCTTCTAACAACTAAAAAGGCAAGGGAACGGGTTCTCGAGAGAGCCTCCAGAAAGGAACACAGGCCTGCAAACACCTTCTTTTTTTAGCCCAGTGAGACTCATTTCAGACTTCTGACCTTCATTAACTGTGAGATAATACATTTGTATTAAGCCACGAAGCTTGTGGCACTTTGTTATAGCAGCAATAGAAAACTAGTATAGGTGGTTATGCCATTTTTACAAATGATGACGAGAGGCCCATACCTGATAGGCCACTTAACCGAGGTCATACAGGCATTCAGCATCAGCTCAAGCTAGAGTTCAGTTGGTCAGAGATATACATTGTCATTTCTGTTCACATCTGTTCTGTTATCTATTGCTTCATAACAAACCAATCCAAAGCTCATTGGTTTCAAACAACAATGTATTATCTTTTGTGGCTCTGCGCATTGACTGGGCTCAGCTAAGAGATTCTTTGGATGTTATATGATTACACTCAGATGTTGGCCAGTATTTTGGTCACTCGAAAGCTTAACTGAGCTCGATATCCAAGATACTCACATGCCTGGCAGTTGATGTCAGCTGGAAGCTCAGCAACAACATGTGGCCTCTCCTTGTGCCTTTGCCTCCTTGCAGCATGGCAGCTGGGTTCCAGGCTAGTTAGGGGCCACGCCTGGAACTGACACACTATCACTTCTGCTATATTCTATTGGTCAAAGCAGTTACAGGGTCCACCCAGGCTCAACAGGACCTCTCCTTGTGCCTTTGCCTCCTTGCAGCATGGCAGCTGGGTTCCAGGCTAGTTAGGGGCCGCGCCTGGAACTGACACACTATCACATCTGCTATATTCTATTGGTCAAAGCAGTTACAGGGTCCACCCAGGCTCAACAGGGTGAAGAAATAAACCTCACCCCTTGCTGGGAGAGTGACAAGGTCATGTTGCCAAAGAGCATGTGGGACAGGGGATGCTGATACAGCCACTTGGGGAAAACAGTTTCTTACAGCATTCTTATTTGGAGGACATGAAAATGCTTCGTGGCGATCTTACAATTCATCCATCAACAACAAATTCATCAACCTTGTGTTACTGCAAAGCACCATGCTGCGCCTCTTGGAGGATGGCAGGATAGTCAAGAGCAGGCTGTGCCCTCAAGCAGTGTGCCGTCTAGCTTGGGCACTCATGAAGACACTTGAACGCAGGGAGCAGCAGGAGGCAGTGGGTAGCAGAGTGACCGGGAGGTGCTAAAGGAGCTGAGGGAAAGGGCAAGGTGGGAATACTGCACGTAGGTAGAAATCACGCTAAGCTTTGAAGCCATACCTGGCAAAGAAGAGACCTAGTGGTGAACAGAGACAGGGAGGCTGGAAACTGTTGAGGCATTTCTTGGGGCCAGTGCCAAGCTACCTATTTTGGCTCTAGTAGGAGATTTGCTGGGTGTACAGAGAGGACTTGGTTCAAGTCCACTTCATACTTCCAGAAGAGAAACAGGGATTTAACTCATGTTTGCCTAAGGCATAGTATCTTAGTCAGCAGAGACCGTTGTAACAAAATACCGTAAAACTGGGTGGCTTAAACAACACGTTTATTTCTCACAGTTCTGAAAGTTGGAAGTCTGAGATGAGGGTGCTGGTGGGGTCTGGTTCTGGTGAGGGCTCTCTTCCTGGTTTACAGACAGCTGTCTTTTTGCTGTGTCCTCACATGGCAGAAGGAGAACTAGCCAGAGGTCCCCACCCTCATGACCCACCTCCAAAGGCCCCACCTCCAAATACCATCACATTGGGATTAGAGTTTCAATATACGAATTTGGGAGAGACACAAATATTCAGTCCATTGCACATATGTTCTTTAGGACTCTGACACTTTTATGGGACACATTTAGAAGTAATGGACCCCCCAAATAATTGGAAACACGTTGGATTTTCTTTTATAAATAGTTGTACTATTTCATTGTATTAGTTGACTACCACGTGATAAACACCAGAAAGCATGCTGGATTCTAACAGGAACCCCTCCCTGCCCTCTCCATCTGTCTCCTGCAGCTCAATGTCAGTGGTTTGGCGATAGCAACCCAGAATGGTCATGCGTCCCTGGTCAACTTTCTTCTCAATGAGAATGTTGATCTGCACCAGAAAGTGGAAGTGAGTATTCCGGTGACGTGGGCTTTGGTGCTGGCACCATGAGGCTGGCTGTGCCAGAGAGATGCCCCTTACAGATATGTAAAGAGGGTGAGGTGTTCACAATCCCTTCATTGCTTCTTCTCCACCTTTTCCCCCTCAGCTGCCCTCTGCACTCTTGGAGACATGTGTCCTCTCGTGCCTCCGTGGGCCAGCGGCAGCTGGAGACCAAGAGTGTGATGGTGGAGGTGGGCCCTGCAGCCTGGCAGGTGGGGTGTGGCCATGAAGACAGGCAGTTTAGCCACAAAGGGGGAGAACAAGGAACAGGTTGCAAAAGGCGTGGTGAACACACTGTGGCTGGACTCTGTAGAGGTGGCAGGGCTGCACAGGAGAACAGTGCCCCTGAGTAAGTGGCGGCATCAGTCCTACATGAAACTGCAGATCAGATTAATTCAGGAAATGCTGATGTGCATACTGTTTCCCCTGTGGCTATCCCCACTGTCCTTTAGCCCTTTGAGGGCTCCGAGAAGTCCTGCAGTTCAGCCTATTGAAACTGTTTATCCTTCATATTTGAGCTCAAATGTCAGTTGTTCAGGAAAGCCTTTCTGACTTCCTGAAAAGTCAGTCCTCCCTTGCCCTCACAGCACTTTCTGCTTTTCCTCCAAAGCATTTATCACAATTTCTAATTGTATATTTATTTGTGACTTAAAAAAAAAAAATTTGCTTACTCTACTATCTTGGAAGATTCCTGAGCACAGGATTTGTTCACCACTAAATCCCTAGCATCCTGAAAAGAGTTGGGCCCATAGTAGGTGCTCAGGGGGAGAGCTGATTGCTGGTGAGCAGGTTTGCTTCAAAGCCTTGGGGTGATGACTACTGAACATTTTAATTTAGTACTTGGGAGATCTTTAAGAAATGTCTGCTGAAATGAGTTGCTTTTTGATTTAAATGATGAAGTCTGAATATTTTGGATTTGAAAGTTTTCTTTCTTTCTGCAGCCTAAGGAGTCCCCTCTTCATTTAGCTGTTATCAACAACCATATCACAGTTGTAAACAGCTTACTAAGTGCACAGCATGACATTGACATCTTAAATCAGGTAAGAAAGGCAAATCAGAACCTGGAGAGTCTATTTTCTTATGTTTCAACATAGTGTGTGTTTATGGGGAGTTGTTCACAGTTGTAAACAGCTTACTAAGTGCACAGCATGACATTGACATCTTAAATCAGGTAAGACAGGCAAATCAGAACCTGGAGAGTCTATTTTCTTATGTTTCAACATAGTGTGTGTTTATGGGGAGTTTTTTTTTTTTTCCTTTTTGTCTTTTTTCGTGACCGGTAACGGGATCGCAACCCTCAGTGTCGCACCCGTACCGTGACCGGCAATGGGATCGCAACCCTCGGTATCGCAACCCTCGGTGTTGCGCCTACACCACGCTCAACCAGTGAGCCGACCGGTCTCTATATGGGATCCGAACCCTCGGCGGGAGTGCCCCGCGCTCAACCAGTGAGCCGACCGGTCTCTATATGGGATCCGAACCCTCGGCGGGAGCGCCACCAGTGCTCCCAAGTGCCGCACTCAACCGAGTGCGCCACCGGGCCGGCCCTTTATGGGGAGTTTTGATCAAGTTCAAGGTGCCCTAAGAATTCTTGGGAGGAATATGTACATTTTTTTTAAAAAACCTTTTTCCTTCTGTAACCCCCACTCCCACCCCTATCCCCACCAAATACTTCATTTTTTTCCAGATTCACAAGTAGGTTTCAGCCAGTGCATGATGAAATCTTTCACATTTAACAGGTCCAGCACTTTAGATAGATAAACCTTAGCTCAGAGGTAGATTGCCAGAGGCTATTTAAATTGAAAGCCACTCCTCTGGTGGGAAATGTTATAATTGGCAGGGAGCCCTTCCCCACAAGAAGGACACTTTGTTCCTCTATTAGGGACAATCAATGTGTCTTCCCTTTGCCTGAAGGCAAAAGAGACCTCTTGGAATATATATATTAAAAAAATCACCAGGAATTCAATCAAGTAGAGCAGAATCAAATGCCTCATAAAAGCAATTCGCTATGGGCTGGAAATGGAAATGCTGAGGTGGAATTAAAGAAAGAGTGGGGTGGACACCATCTGAATCAGGGCCTGATCTCTGGGCTGAGCTCCTGGGAGTGGGAAGAGGAGCCTTCCCAGGGTCCTATAGCCAGATGTGACCTCCTGGCTGTTTCCTCCCAGAGAAGCCTCAGCTGTGCCTCCAGGTTAGGGAGAAGCCATGGCGCAGCGGGCGTGCCTGTCCTTACCCACTGACTTGACTCAGATCTCAGCATTTTCCCTCAACTCCATCCTGTGACTTAATTTCTGCCCTGAGCCCAATGAAGACTTGTACTTCTGTCCCTCCCTCCCCCAGGAGATCTCCCACTCTCTCGTCTTTCACTACCCCAAAAGTTTTGGTGGAAAAAAACCTCTCGTTAATAAACATACTTATGTATTCAACTATTTTAATGCCCCAAACCTTTCCTAAAGGGCAAAATCTCTACTAAATACATAGATGGCGCCTCATGCTCATGTGTAATTTTGGTTTCAATAGAACTAGCTAGATCCACTCTAGGGAAGGACACTTGTTAGGCTTGACATCCAGGTACAGAACTAGGCTTTATCATTTCAATGTTCTTGTTAAACCAGGAATACACATATAAAATTAAAAAATTCGTATTTTACATATAAAATATGAAAATATAAGTAAGTTCAAAAACTAAAATGTGTTTGTAGTCTCCACCAAAGAAAAATAACTCTTGTTAATGTTTCAGTGGGTTTCGTACCTTCTAGACTTACAGCAGTATTGTCAAAATGAGATCTTGTTGGTATTTAGTGCGTCTGTTCCTTGTTGGTATAGATCTTTGATAGGTTTGTCAGTGTAGGTGTGATGTCTTGGTTGGTGAGCCCCCAGAGGGGCACACTACCATCTAAAGGAGGGTCTTTAATAAATGCTTTTCGACAATCACCTCATCCCCCCAAGCAGGTTGGCCCCGTGCTCTGGTAGGAAGAGTACTGGGCTGCATGACATTGCCCAGTGGTGTGAACCTGGGGAAGCTGCTTCCCCTCTCTGGTTAAGGGGTTGGGCTAGGTTATATCCAAGGTTCCTTTCCGCTCTAATATTTGAAAAATATCTTCTTTCAGTGGGAGGTTAAGATGGGTGATTTTCTTGTGATTTCACATATTTCTTTTGAAACACTCTCATTCTTTTGATAGGAAAATGATCACTCCAGAAAGAAATTAGTAGTCTTGTACTTATACATTATAATGTAGAAAATTTAGAAAACAGAGGGAAAAGCATCAAGAAGGCAATAAAAATAACCTCTAATCCTTCCATCTAGATATGATCATTGTTAACATATTGATGTATTTCCTTCTCTTTTTTATATAAAATTAAACACAGCTAGATATAGTGTTGTTGTTTCCTAAGGCTTTTAATATTATATTATAAACATTTCTTAATTTTTTCAAAATAATCTTTGAAATCATTTTTATTGTGGTGAAATAAACATAAAATCTACCATTCTAATGATTTAAGTGTACAGTTCTGTGGCAATAATTATATTCCCATTGTTGTGCAACCATCACCACCATCTACCTCCAGAACTTTTTTCATCTTCCCAAACTGAAATTCCACACCCATTAAACAACTCCCATTCCGTCCTCCCCCCAGCCCCTGGCACCACCATTCTACTCTATGTCTCTATGAATTTGACTACTCTAGGTACCTCATATTGAAGTCATTTTAAAAAAATCATTTTTAATGGTCGCCTACTATTCCAATATATAGATGCACCATAATGTGTCTATTGAGTCTCCTTGTTAAACATGGAGCTTCTTTTCAGTTTTTCACTATTATAAATAATACTGCAGTGATCATCACACATTGCATATATATATTGAAGTAATGTACCCCATAAATATGTACAATCAATACATGTCAATTAAAAAAAGATTTTTTGTACAGTTAGGTGTAGGCTAGAAAACTCTAAAAAAAATAATAGAAATATTTATTGTTCATTTTGTTTATATATTTATTATTTATTTATTAAAAAGTATAAGAATTACACATTTGGTTACTTTGCAAGATTACATTTTCTTTAATTTGAAGAAACTATAGAAGGAAATAGTGTATAATGCATTATGGGAGTCGTTCATGCAAAAAAAAAGTGACACAGAACTCTATGCTCATAAAACAGTAATAAAAAAAAGTAAACCTAGAACAAAACATTGAAAAAAATTTATATGTTTAGAGTGAAAAATAAAATGTTTATGATATGCATGCAAAAACAAACATATAATACTTCAATAAATGTCCCCTGTATCCATTTAAAAATATATGAGCTTATCCATTTTTCATTAAGCCCATACATATAGGGACACCTCAACTCTTTCTTCATCTTTTCACTATGCAAGTTTTTTTTCCTCCTTAATGTGCTTTGATTACATTTTTAATATTTCTCATGGCAGAGGCATCAAACTCCTCTGCATGTAGCTGCCGACCTTGGAAATGTGGAGCTGGTGGAAGCCCTTCTGAAGGCCGGCTGTGACTTGAAGGTTGTCGATAAGGTAATTGCATGGCCTTCACGCTGTTCAGCTGAGGTGGTTGCTGAGCTCTCCCCGTTGGCTGTAAGCCTTGAGCAGCAGCAGCAGCACAGTCTGTGAGATGGGCACAAATGGGAGAAACCTGCTTCATAGTAAAACATCCCAATTTTGATTGAGAAAGGTCAGTAAGAATTTTTACTCTCAATAACAAAATAGGTGTTTTTAAAATTCAAACTATTGATTAGACTTTTGAAAAGATTATAGATTCACATGGTCCAAAAAAAAAAAAAAAAAAAAAAAAACCCACCATAAATACTTTAAAGTAGAACATTCCCTCCCATCCCTGTCCCTACTTGTCTGATTTCCACACTACCCTGGCCATAGGTATCCATTATTATAACTTTCTTCTGTTCCTTCCAGAATATCTTTATGCATATACCAGCAAACATTGATAAATTATACTTTTTTCCCATTCCTTTGTCCTTTTTAGATAATGGTGGAATATGTATGTATACTGTTCTTCATTTAACTTTCACTCCTTAACATTATAAAGCAGAAATCTTTCCATATTAACACATGGAGAGGTTTTTTTTTTATATAACTGCATAATAAATCAGGGTATGTACAAGTCATAATTTGTTTAACTAGTCCTTAACTGATGTTTCTAAGCTTTTTCCAGAGCTGCATTGAATAAACTTACATGTGCCTGAACTTGTTTTTTAAAAAACTTAATTAAAGGGTCGGCCCGTGGCTCACCCGGGAGAGTGCGGCGCTGGTGGCGCCGAGGCCGCGGGTTCGGATCCTATATAGGGATGGCTGGTGCGCTCACAGTGCTCACTGGCTGAGCGCGGTGCGGCCGGTCTCAAAAAAAAAATAAAAATAAAAAAAGCAATTTTGTTTCTTTCAAGTGGTGCAATAATGCCGGCACAGCTATTGGAGGTTGGAGGTTGTCAGAGAGCCAGCTCGTTAGGTTCAGGTCGTTAGGTTCCAGCTTTACTACAAGTATAAAAGGAGGAGACCACGGTGGGTGGCCCTGTTAGGTGCTCACACGTGCCATCTTATTTCAGTCCTCACATCTCTTCTGTGAAGTGGACAAAATTTTCTCTTGAAGAAAGAGAAGATGTGAGAGATTTTGATGACATCAGAGTCCCACACATGCTAAGAGGCAGAGTGGCACTTCAAACCCAAAGGTGCTGGCTGCTGTGTCCTTCAGTGCTTCCCTACAAAACTTGCAGTTTTCCCCTTCCTTGTTTTCGCCACTCAGTTTATTAGCTCAGCACCTCCCTAAGTCACAGTGCAAGGCCAAGTCTGCCCTACTGTAGTTCAGAATCACACATTTTACGTTTGTGGGATCTGAAATACATTACTTTACTTTTCTCTGTGTCAGTTTCTAAGATTAATTATTTCTTTTTCTGATCATAATTCAAGCCCATTGTGGACTATTTGGAAAACATAGAAAAGAGTAAGGAAGGAAAACACAACCACCCATAATTCCACCACTTGGCTGGAAATCCACCACTTTCACCAGTTGTGGCTGGTCAACTTTGTTAACATTTAGCGTCAGTATTTTCCTATGCTTTCTTTTTGTGATTTATCCTACTTTTTCATTAACACTGAACAGCTTCGAGGCAATTTTGTGGGTAGAGAATGTATAGCATTGGGCAGGAATTCCTACTGGGGCCCCTGGTGTTAGGGGACTAGATGTTCCAATAAACTCAGTCAGTGCCACCACTTGACTTTATTTTCAAAACAAAAGCCCATGGTTTACTAGGCCTCACAATTTAATTTTCCCAGATTTCCCTTCTCCTCCTCCTTTCTTCTCTGGGTCTGGCACATCATTGGCACCCAATACATATTTAATTAATGAATAAAAACTATCTTTTCTGCCTGCTTCCACAGTTTTCATCAACAGTAATCAACAGTTTCTAAGACCACATTTAGGTTTGGATAGGAAAAAGGAGCAAGGTTTGGTGTAAATTTGACTTTCCCAGAAAGACAAAGCTCCCAGAGGGCCTCCTATTCCCTCCCCCGGACCCCCATCCCCAAGGGCAGAAGTATTTGGACTTTCACTCTGGCATACACTTCCTCGGAAGATTTTCTCACGAGCCTGAAGACTCTGGCTCTCAGAATGCTGCCTTCCCAAAATAGGCTAATTATGGTGATTCAAATGCCTTTACAAGCTAGAATTTAGACAGCATACAATTAGAAGCTTGCTAAATGCCTGCAAAATGCAGTTCTTCCTAATTTCATTACTGTCTCTTTTGATTAGAGGCTGATTACTTTCAGCACTCTTTTTCCAGCTCACCTGGGTCTTAGCGCACGGACTAACAGCCGAATTATTTGTATTGGTGGAATTGCACTTGTTGCAAATATCCAGCCATGTAAGAGAATTATTTCGGTAAATTTCTGGATTCGTAAGGGCAGGCACATAGGTTCCTAAGATTAGAACGTTCTTGGATTATTTCTGACCATTAATTTTATTTATTTTCAGGGTCCCTGAGCAAATTCTTCATGATCCATTTGAAAAGCAAATGAGAACGTCCATCCTTTGCTCAGGGAAAAGTGTATTGATGTAGAAGTTGCGCACTGCGTAAAATCTAAGGACGTTGCTTGCAAAGCTGTGTGCCCTGGCTCCGAGCTCTATCCATCTTGAGAAAGTTGCACCTTTTTGTAATTTGTATAAGGCACCACATGGGCTCCAGGCAGCTCATAAACCAAATTATGTTCAGAACAGCTATTGTTGCTCATTCCGTTTGGTTAATATTCCAACCACTCTCCCTTGGCTAGGGGCAGTATAGTACAATAGGAAAAAAATCCTAGGTTGGAGTCCAGTGAGCTGAATTCTGTACTATGAATTAGTGGTGTTATCATTATTGATATCAGTCTTAGTAAGATCCAGCCCTTTTCTGTTTTATTACTCCACCCTCCTCAAAACATGGCTTCATTTCCTGGTCTACAGTGGCTGTTCAAGCTCCTGCCATCATGCGAGCATTCCACTCAGAAGGAGGAGGAAAGGAAGGAGGTGTCACCCTTCCTCTCTGTAAAGACACTTCCTGGAGGTTTTATGTGCCACTTCCATTTACTTACCATTAGCCAGAACTTAGCCACATGCCTAACTGCAAGGGAGGCTAGGAAATGTTTGGGGTGGCACATGTCCTAAGGGCTTTATATGCATTATCACATTTGTGCCTCACCGCTACACCTGGCACAGTACTGAGAACCAAGGAAGCCAAGGGCTGGCCCAAGTTTGCCCAGCAAGGAAGTGGTAGGGTCAGGATTTGAACCCAGGGTCCCTTGTTCCAAAGCTAGAGTTCCTAACCATTAGGCAATACTACCTGACACTTTCTTCTTCTAACTTTTAGCAAGGAAAGACAGCCCTGGCTGTGGCCTCCAGGAGCAACCACAGCCTTGTTGTGGACATGCTCATTAAAGCAGAGAGATACTATGCCTGGAGAGAGGTAAGAAATGAAGGTTCCAGCACAGCAGGGGGCTTGTCTTATGGGGCCATGTGGGGTCTGTATAATTCTTTTTTCAGCTCTAATAGACAGAGCCCTGGTCAGCACTGTCCCTTCTATCCTGTGCTACCCCCATTCACAGAATGAACAGCAGCTCTTCTTTCTCTTTCTTTGTCAGCATCAGTCAGCAGAACTGAGAGTGCGTAGAGGCCAGTTGGCTGGGCGGCCTCTTCCAGGTTGGCTCTGATGGGTCTGGCATGTGAGCCCCTGATGGGTGACTCCCTGGCTGTGCCCTCCATCCCAGTCTCTGGCCATGGTCCATTCCCAGAAGCTTTAATGAGTAGTTAAAAAAATAAAAACTCTTTTTTATGGCTCAGCAGTTTTCCATGCACCACTACGCTGGCTGTCCAGTGTTCAAGCTTTCTGTGACAGTCATGAAAACCCTGTGCGTCTTGAGAACACAGAAAAACCTGTCTCTAAGTTATTCCCTTTGCTTTTCTTTCACGTTTATTTCCTCTATCTGCCACTCATGCAGCTTCTCAATAGACTGAGCTCCCCTCCAAGACTCGAGTCCATGACCTCAGGCAAGACTGTCATTACCAGACCCCACCCTCAATTTATAGTGAAGTGTTGTTTCCATCCGAGGCTGCATGTCTACCCCTGGCCCAATGTGTTGGTGCCGGAATTCAGGTCCAAATCACTCAGTCTACCCCCGAGGAGCTGTGAACTCGGATTGCCATCTGCTTGGCCAATCCTTGGAAATTTCCCTTAAATCCTTAAAACAAAAAGAGTTTATTTGTATCCTTCTCTCTCACAGTCCTGTTTAATTGGCTCAGAAGTCTTGATATAAATGGACCCTTTTAAAGGTCACGTCATCCTCCTTGCAACTTTTCTTGCCTGTAAAACAAAACAAAATTTTAAAAAAATAATTAGAATTTTCTGTTTTATCTCTCCCCCTCCTCTTATTTCTGTTGTTCCTCCTTCTCTTTTCTTTATCCTCATCCTTTTAAAGGTCACGTCATCCTCCTTGCAACTTTTCTTGCCTGTAAAACAAAACAAAATTTAAAAAAAATAATTAGAATTTTCTGTTTTATCTCTCCCCCTCCTCTTATTTCTGTTGTTCCTCCTTCTCTTTTCTTTATCCTCACGCTCATTTTCTTAAATCATCACTATATGTTATTGAAGACTTTACCACATTTTACCTTTTCTCTTGCTTGTTAAATTGTTGTTTTCACATTCTCTTTGAAAATAGAAATATACATTTGTTCTATTTTTAATGCCTGGTAGCATTTTTAGATTCTTTTGACTAGAAAAGAATAAATTACTTTTCTACTAAATGAATAACCCTTCCTTTCTAACAAAACTTTAAAATGTATGAGATAGATAAACTTTGAACATCAGATATAATGCACAAATACAGGTGAAGAAGACCCTGGAAATGGTAAGAATTGTTAACCTTGGTGACAACCGGGGTCCTGAGGTCTGGGGTGGGAGGAAGATTTGTTTTTAAATATATATCCTTAAAAATTTAAAAACCAAATACATTTATTGCTATTTTAATTCTCTTTGTTCATTAAACAAGCTTATATCCTGGCCTAATATAAATTGTTCCTTATAAAAAGATTAAAGAGATGATTTAAATTTCCTCTCTTATATCCATTTATCCATTGACCTAACCACTCAATCAGTCATCATTAAATTCAGTGTTTCTGAGGTAAATGGGAGCTCCCTAAAATCTGGCTTGTGTCATTTTAATTTCCACCAATTCTGGCTTGGGTTACTCCTGTAAATAGTTCATTGCTTTGGCATATAAATTATTCAACGTTTCCACTGACTTGAAAAAGACCTGGGCTTTCCAAACCCCCTACCCTTTCTTATAAAAACCTAAAGGATGACCCAGCCCAATCCTGGAATGCACAAAGCATTACCTCTTTTAGGATTCCTGGGAGCTAGACATTGTGGAAGTAAAGCTGAGGCTGGGTTAGAGAAGACCCTGCATTTTATGGTCTCTAAAACAATTACGGGTAATTCACACCTCCCATTCCTATTCCAACTTTTGTACACAAAATCCAGATACTTGAGAAAGATTCTCCTTGGCCGAGTTTCCCAGGAGTTTGCACAGCTTCCTGGAGTAGGTTGCTGAGGCTGTGAAGCTCCCATGATGGGGGCCGAGGAGCAGCCCCACTGGGCTCTTCTCACAGGTTTTGAAAACCAAGCTCCATCCCCTTTTTTGTCAGTTTCCTGCCCCAGCATTGGGTTGACTCCCATTTTATTGTTCAGAATGTGTTTCATTAAGAATCACTTTTATGTAAATGAAAGACAAAAATAGAAATCACTATTCACGAAAAAGGAGAGGAGAATAGGTAAAAGTCCTAAGCCTGTATGTCCTTAACTGATCTGCCACCTTCTGCAGGAGGATTATCTGGTGTGCTAATGGCATGTGCATGACATGCAATTCTTGGAATCCCTGCCACCTGCTTTCACATTGAGATTTTCTCCAGTTTTTTTGGTTTGGTGGAATCTGCAGAGGGGACAAAAGGAACCTTTGAAAAGCCAGAAAACAAGACACCAATCCAGGCATAGCTCTGTTGGGCTGAACCTGTCTGCAGTGGCTTAAAGCAAAATGATATCCACTTTTGTCTTCTCCACTTCCTTGGCCACCTCTTCCTCCTACCCTTTTTCCGAGTAAGGCTTCTAGTTTGCTCTCTTCACGCTCACCAGAGAGCAGAATGAACCCAGGATCCAGCTATGGGCTCATATTAAGGATACACCCAATCTGGGCCCCATGGAAGCTTCAATATGAGAAAATCAAATACCCAAAAGGATATGGGTTGAAAGTAAGGCCATTAAAGTTGTGTTTGTTGTTGTGACATTTCCCTTGCCAAGACATCCCCTCTTCTGGGGTGTGAATATTGGTCAGCAGCATGGGACACAACATTGCAAAATACCTCATAGGTCCTGTGTCAGAGGAATGGGACTCGGGCTTTTTATTTTAGATGTTTGTCTCCATCTTAGATGACAAAAAATGATCCAGTGACAGATGACATTGAAAACATAGACTCAGTTACCACCTTACCAGTTATGTTTGAGAAATATATATACTCTGAAATAAGACAATAAGCAGAACATATCTGAAATTATCTGATACAGTTATCTTTAATTAAGGAGCATCATGAGAGTGCCAGGGACCCATCAGCAGGCTCTACTCTGACATTCAAGCAAGATCACAGTCTGGAGACCAGGCATGTTCGCACGCTCCTCTGGAACCTGGCTTACCATCAGCTGAAGGCCAATGAGTGGCAGAGACTGGCCCGTTTGTGGAACTTTACAGATGACCAGATCAGAGCCATTGAAGAGCAGTGGTCAGGTGAGTACAGACTAGATGATGTGGCAGGAGGCACTCAGTGTTAGGAGCAGCAGGCCTGCTGCATCTCACATCTTCCAAGTGCCTGGTGCTCACAAGAAGCATCAGACTTTAAGGGCTCTAGGAATAAGGCAATGAGCTTAGGTCCACAAAGGTGACTGGGAACTTTGCAGAAAGCCGACACTCATGGGAATCTTCACTAAACTGAGGTTTGCAAAGGATTATTACTTTTATTGAGCCATATTGAAAAGGTGGCTAAATGCCTAAAACGAAATTAAGGTTCCCAACTGAATGGGCTCTAAGAAAGAAAGGATTTAATAGGTGGTGTGTCACTGGGAAACCAATCCTATTTATGGTGTTCCTTGAGATTGTCCTGGGATGAATGGGTTTATTCTGTAGTCAAAAGGGTCACTGTTTAGG